TGAGATTGGAGCCTCCTTGCTTGTGCTTGCCTGTGAGCTCAGATTCTTTGGGTCTGTGGAGTGTAGCATAGGTATTCTGTACTTTACAGCTAATTTCCACTTGTCAGTGTGTACATACCATGCATGTCCTTTTGTGTCTAGGTTACTTCACTCAGGATGTTATTCTCAAGTTCCATCCATTTGCCTGCAAAATTCATCCTATCTCTGTTTTTAAAAGCTGAATAGCATTCCATTACATAAATGTACATTTTCCTAATCCATTCTTCAGTTGACGGATATGTAGGTTTTTTTGAGTTTCTGCCTGTTACGAATAAAGCTGCTCTGAACATAACTGACCAAGTGTCCCTGTGCTGTAGTGGGGCATCTTTTGGGTATATACCTAGGAGTGGTATAGCTGGGACTTGAGGTAGAACTAGTCCCAGTTTTCCGAGAACTGCCAAATTGATTTCCAAAGTGGTTGTACAAGTTTGTACTCCCAGTAGCAATGGAGGAATGTTCCCTTTTGCTTCACATCTTCAATAGATTGTTGTGTACATTTGTTTTTGATCTTAGCCATTCTGATGGGTGTAAGGTGTTATCTCAGAGTTGTTTTGATTTACATTTTCCTGACGACTAAGGACTCTGAACGTTTCTTTAAGTGCTTCTTAGCCATTCAGAACTCTTGTGTTGTGAATTCTCTGGTTAGCTCCGTACACCATTTTTAATTGGGTTATTTGGGTTGTTGGTGTGTAACTTCTTGAGTTCTTTATACATTTTGGATATTAGCCCTCTGTCAGATGGAGGGTTGGTGAAGACCTTTTCACAATTTGTTGGCAGCTATTTTGTCCTATTGACAGTGTCCTTTGCCTTACAGAAACTTTTCAGTTTTATGAGGTCCCATTTATCAATTGTTGATCTTAGAGCCTGAGCCATTGGTGTTCAGATCAAGAAATTGTCTCCTTTACCAAGACATTCAAGGCTCTTTCCCACTTTCTCTCCTTTCTGACTTAGTGTACCTGGTTTTCCGTTGAGGTCTTTGATCTTCTTGTACTTGAGTTTTGACAAGGTGATAGATTTACTTGCATTCTTCTACATGCAGACATCCAATTAGACCAGAACCATTTATTGAAGATGCTGTCTTTTTTACCATTGTATGGTTTAGGCTTTATCAAAAATCAAGTGTTGATAGGTATGTGGGTTTATTTCTGGGTCCTGATCAATAGAATTCCATTGATCAACTTTTCCGTTTCTACACTAATGCCATACTTTTTAAATTACTATTGCTCTGCAGTTCCACTTGAGATCAGGATGATGATACCTCCAGAAATTCTTTTATTGTTCAAGATTGGTTTAGCTATACTGGTTTTTTTTTTTTTTGAGAAAAGGATATTCTAGAAGCCATTTTTACACCTTAATTGTTCCTCAATCTCATGCCTGCCGTACTCTCATCCTAGGGATGTAATCCAAGGCTTTCTGTTTGCTAAGCAAGTTATCTTCCAAAGTGTCCATACTTCCAGCTCCTTTCATGATGCATTCTAGTAGATCCATTCCTGGTGAGCCTCTCTGACATCATCCCTCACCGGGAGGTGTTAGGTGAGTGATTTCCTTTTTAGCCATGTTTCAGGCAAGAATTGTATAGTCTTGAGTGTAAATGATTTCAGTAATCCTGGGCTCAGCCCTGCTCCTGCCTCTGTGTAGTATAGTGGTCTTATTTCTTCTTCAGTGTTGGCAACATGTGGAACAGTGAGATAAAACTGCATAACATGCCAAGTTTAGCAAGACAGAGGTGTGGAGATAAAGGGATGTAAGAGAAATACATGGAGTGAATATATGGGTAGACACATTTAAACAGAAAAGTGAAGTGGTTAGCATGCTAGCTAGGGCATTTAGAAGATGCAGGAAGAAAATAATAGATAGAAAGACACATATTAATGGTAGGTATAGACACAGGTTCAGGTAGAATACTGTGGGACACAAGCAAGCCAGCAAAGAGGCAAGCAAGCTAAAAGAAAATAGAGGCAAAGAGCCATGGAGGGTGTCCAAATAGTCAGGTCCAGACATGAGAATATCATGTCAAGAGTGAGATAAGATATTGAACTATTCAGGAAAAACCTAGGTCACAAAACCAGTTCTAGGAGAACCATCTCAGAGGGCTATTCCACCAATTTCTAAGCTCACATCACCTAAATTATGAAAAAGAGATGGCCAAACATATGGTGTTCTTTTTCTAAATTCTCCCATACAGGCATAATTTTCCAATAACATGGAGAGCACAGGAGTTGCTTGGAAATCCCTCCTGTGTCTCTAGACTTCAGATAGACAGTTGCAGCCAATAATATCTGAAGTATAGGGCAGGATGTGGTGTCTGTTCATGGGCTTTCAGGCTCCCATTGCTCTATGGTGCTCCATGCCTTAGGTTATAAACCAGCAACAGCTTCCTATGATTCTGAGAACCCAGTGGGTGCCACAGACCCCTTATCACATGTCCCTGCCCATTCTCAATTGTCTGAACAATTGTGTTTCTGAACTTGCTTGTTCAAGTTCATTAATGTCAAGGTGAAGAAAAAGGAGGCAGAGAGAAAGAGAGGAAGATGAGAGACAGAACAGAGAATGATATTGTCACAGTGGTCTCTCTCTGTAGGTCAGGTTTTTGGAACCCATCACCTTCCTGCCTCAGTCTGCCAAGTGCTGGGAATACAGGCATGTGACTCCATGTCAAGTTTATATAGAATTCTTTCTAAACTGTTGTTACACTCAGGACAGCCCTATGAGATGAGTATTAATCTCTTCATATGAGAAACGAGAGACAGTGGAGATGTTAAATTCATATTGTGTACATAAACCTGTTTTTCTTCTATTTTAATTCAGTTATGTTGTAATTTCTTACCCGAAAAAGCATATATAAAAAACATACAACCCAGTTATCATATTTATAAGGTATATGCTTATATTGGGCAGAGCTATCACTACATTACTTTTTTCCTCAGCTGTGAGACTCCTTTCTACTTACAGCTTCTCCAGGCCATGTGATTCTGCTCCATATTAATTTCTACCTCTTCTTCCTCTGTCCTCTCCCCTGCTGCTCCCCCTCTTTAAGATCACCAGTCCCACTTTCCCATTCCACTGCCCAATCACAGGCTCTAGCCTTTATTTGACAAATTACAATGGGGAGAATGCTCACATGAGATCACTTGAGTATGTGACCTACTCCTCCTGAGGGGCAGCTCCTCTTGAGAAAGCAGAAATAACATCAGAACACAACAGCACCAGTGCAACCCACAACAGGGTTATTACAGTTCTGGAGCAAGGACTCTGGTAATCTAACAAAAACTGCAAATCTTTCAAAAGTGGCCATGGGACATCCACCAAGAATTGGTCCTTCATTTTTTGATTTATTTATTATGTGATTACATGTGTCTATATGTGCGCTATGGTATGTGTTTATGTTGGAGGACAGTGTGGGAGGCTGGTTCTCACCTTCCATTATGTGGTTCCAGGGGATTCAACTCATGGTCGCAGGACTCATCAAAAGCTCCTGTTCGTAGGAAGGCACCTCACTGGTCCTGCAAGGGAAATTTATTTATTATTTATTTATTTATTTATTTATTTCTTATTTATTTTTCTGTTTATTTATCCATTTATTTATCTACAAAACACTGTCTCCTCTCACCGTCCCCACCCCTCACAGAATCCTTTCCCCCTCACTTCCCCTTCTCCTCTGTGATGGTTAGCCTTCTTGGTATCCCCTGGGGCATCAAATCTCTGCAGGATCAGGCACACCCTCTCCCACTGAGGCCAGGCAAACCAGCCCTATTGGGGAATGGATTCCATAGTCAGGCAAGAGCTTAAGAGATATTGCCTGCTCCAGGTGTTTAAGGACCAACATGGAGACTGAGCTGCACATCATTACACACGTGTGGGTTGTGGGGCTACATCAAGCCACTTCTGTTCTTTGGTTGAAGATTCAGTCTCTGAGAGCCCCTAAGGGTCCAGGTTAGTAGACTCTGTTGATTTTCTAGTGGAGACTCTAACCCCTTCAGCGCCCTCAATCCTTACCTGAAGTCTTCCATAAGGGGCTTCACGCTCCATCCAATGTTTGGCTATGGGTATATATGTCTCAATCAGCTGCTGGGTGGAGTCTTTTAGAGGACAGCTATGCTAGGCGTCTGTTTGCAAGCACAACAGAATATTATTAATAGTGTCATGGATTGGTGTTTGTCCTTGGTAGGGTGGGGACAGTTATTGCTTGTTTGTTTTCTCAGTCTCAGCCTTATCTTTGTCCCTGCAATTCTTTTAGACAGGACACATTTTTGATTCAAACTTTGTGGGTGGTCTGGTGTTCTTATCCATCCACTGGAGTCCTACTTGGCTACAGGGGGTGGGATCATCAGTTTCCACATCCTTATATCTATGAGTCTCAGCTAAAGTCACCCCCATGACCTTGAGGGTCCTCTTCCATCCAAGGTCTCTTTAATTTCATAGATATTCCCCCATCTGCCCTGTCTCCAGCAGCTGCTGGAAAATTTCATTCATACTTTTGGCCCTCTCTACTGACTCTCTTCACTCCTGATCCTAACCCCCCTACCCACCCCACCTTAGTAGCCTTTCTATACCCCCTCCCACTCTGTTCCCTCACTCTTTCTGTGTCCCATGGCTATTTTTTTCCCTTTTCTAAGTGAGATTCAAGCAGCCTTGCTTGGGCCTTCCTTCTTGTATAGCATCTTTAGAGTTTGGGGGTATATCATTGGTATCCTCCTGTACATTTTGGCTGATATCCACTAATCAGTGGGTACATACTGCACATGTTCTTTTGGGTCTGGGTTACCTCCCTCAGATGATATTTTTTAGTTCCATTTGCCTACAAAATTCTCTTCACCTTCCAACTTGAATTACAGGGTGATGGTCAAAATCATTGTTGTTTATTGCAGTGGGGAGGGATGTGTAAACGGGTTTAGGGATGTGACTGTCCAAAGGCTATACAGTGGATGGGTGCTCACATGGATCATTTTCTGTGCACACAGGAAAGCGCATTTGTCTTGGCGAAGGCATTGCCCGCAACGAATTGTTCATTTTCTTCACCACCATCCTCCAGAATTTCTCTGTGTCAGGCCATGTTGCTCCTGAGGACATTGACCTCACTCCCAAGGAAATTGGTATTGGAAAAATACTGCCAACATACCAGATCTGCTTCTTAGCCCGCTGATTGGGCTGAGGCAGTCAGGTGTCCCCACTTCTGTTGAGAATGGCTCTGTCTTTGTGCCTCTGAGAGAACTGCTGTAAACCAGGCCATAGGTCACTGCTCACATTCTCCCTCCTACTGTGGTTCTCCAAAGCTCCAAGGCGTGTTCTTCTTACCAATGAATGGCACTGAAGAAATCAACCAACTGTCTTTCTTGATGTGTGAACAGAGATTTCTGCAGTCCACATCTCATGCCGAGTCACTTACCTCTTCCTCCCAACAGTCCAAGTTCTCTTTCACCAGCTCTCCATGCTTTATGATCTGTGTTAATAGACTTTATATAAGGTTTGAATTTTGTATCTACAGACTTGCCTAGTATGCATGGTTCAGGTAAACAGAACCACATAGTGTGTGATCACTGGTGTCTTGTGCCTTTACTTCACATATTATTATCTAGGTTTCTGTATTCTACAGGCCACTGTCACACATACCATTATGGGTTTTTCTCATGCACTTTCTTAGCATTCTCTCCCTTCATCTTCTGTCTAGGGAGTGTCCTCCTTAGCTCAAGGTCCCTGAGCTGCATGTTTCTGAACACTGAACTCAAGTTTCCCTATGCTTTTCCTTAAAACTCCCAAGAATCACACCAATGCCTGCATTAGTAAGGGTTCTCTAAAGGATGAGGACTGACATAATCAATCAATCAATCAATCAGTCTGTCTATACATCTGCCTCTTTCTCTCTTATCATCTCTGTGTCTATGTTTATATGAATCTGTTGTCCATCTTGTGTTTATGTTCATGTGTGTGTATGTATGTATATTTATGTATCATCTATTTAAGTATTTTATATATGTGTGTATGTATGTATCTATCTTTGGATATCTATCTATCTATCTATCTATCTATCTATCTATGTATCTATCATCTATTTAATCTTCCATCTCTTTATCGATTTATTAGACTGGCTAACAGGCTACAGCCAGCAGGTTCAACAATGATTGTCCCATAATGGAAAGGCTGAGGATTGAGTAGTTCTTGATTCATGAGATTGTTAATATTCCTCTATCCCATGCAGTGCTATTACAGTCCTGGAAGGTGCCTGCAGAGCTTCTGGTGCAATCAAGAAGAAGTTGGATTCATTACCAGCCACAGTAAAAGATTAGATGAGTTAGCCAGGGAGAGTTAGGGCAGGCAGGAAAAAAGCTCAATTTCCTTCTTTCCTGTCTTTCTGCTTCAAATAATCTGATCAAGAATCCTCTTCACAAGAGTGCTCAGCAGTTTGAGTTTTAGTTGATACCAGGTGCAGTCAAGGTAATACTCAAGAGAAGCCACCAAAATATCCAGACCCCTGACCTCCTTGAGAGTTACATATGTATTTATCTTTGGGTTTCCATTGCTGTGAAGAGACACCATGACCAAGGCAATTCTTGTAAAAGTCAACATTTTACTGGGGCTGGCTTACAGGTTCATAAGTTCAGTCCATTAACATCATGGCATCAAGCTGGCAGCATCCAGGCAGACATGGTGCTGTAGAAAATGCTGAGAGTTCTGCATCATGATCCAACTGCAGCCAGGAGACACTGGCTTCCAGGTGGCTGAGAGGAGGGTCTCAAGTCCCATCCCCACAGTGACACACTTCCTCCAACAAGGCCACACCTCCTAATAGTGCCACTCCCTATGCCAAGCATATTTAAACCAGCGTAGAGGCCATACCTAGCCATAGCATAATGCAAAGTACGTTTAGTCCAACTTCAAAAGTCTCCCGTGTCTATCACAGTCTCAACAATGTTAAAAGTGCAAAGGTGGAAGTCTCTTCTGAGGTTCATCCAATCACTTAACTGTGATCTCCTATAAAATCCAAAATCATGGGATATGCATTACCTTTCTAAAAGGTAATTGTGAGGAAATTCTGGACAAAAGCAAGAGAGAAAACCAGCTGGGTAAACTTCAAATTCTGCATCTCCATGTCTGATGTCAAAGCGTTCTTCAGATCAAACAATTTCTTTCTTTTGGGCTGTTTCCACTCCATGTTAGCAGTTTTCCTCACGACATATCCCATGGTTTTGCTTTCTCTAACATCTTGAGGTCTCCAAGGCAACTTCAACTTCATAGCAAGCATGCTGTGAAACCATGCATTCAAAACCAGTACTACTTGGTTGATTCTTACATATTACCCAGTCCGGCTGCCAGCACGAAGTCTATCTCTGAAACAAAACTTCTCTGTGGTCCCAGAAAACACTTACAAGAAAAATTCATGTCAGTGATGCTCATCTCTTCATAATCACTGCTAATTCCTTAGCTCCAGGCAGCTAACTAGCATCAACTATCCCAATAACCCAGTCTATTCTTGTTTGTCTGGGTTCTTTTTTGTTGTTGTTGTTGTTGATAAGGACTTTATTTTTCTTTTTAAAATTCAGCTTACATTCCAGTCAAAAACTCTCTTTCTCCTTTCTTCCTGGTCCCACCCTTACAAATTCCTGTCCCCATTATTCCCTCCTCTTGTGTACCTCCTAACCCTGGGTCATGTGGTTCTATGAGGACTAGGTCCATCCTTTATCACTGAGGCCTACCCAGGCAGCCCAAGTAGAGGATGGGAATCTGATCACAGTAAATAGAGAATGAGACAGATCCAGCTTCATTTTGTTAGTGGACCCACATGAAGATCAAGCATTCAAAACCAAAAACCAATTCTTACATTATGTGGGGGTGGAGGGTTAGTTCAATCTGTGAGAGCTAACAGGGTCCAGGTTATTGACTCTATTGGTCTTCCTGTGGAGTTCTTATCAATTTTGGCATCCTCAACTTTCTGACATCTCTTCCATTGGAAAGCCAGAACTCTGTCCAATGATTGACCTTGAGTCTCTGCTTCTGTTTCAATCAGTTGCTGGGTGTAGCCTCTCAGAAGACAGTCATGTTAGGCTCTTGACTGCAGTCATAATAGGGTATCATTAGTAGTGTCAGGGATTGTTGCTTACCCATGGAATAATTCTCAACTTGGTCCAGCCATTGGTTTTCAATTTTCTCAGTTTTTATTTCATTTTGTCCCTACATTTTTTGTAGACAGGAAACGTTTTAGGTCAAAAGTTTAGTGTTTGGGCTGGTTTCCTTATCTGTCCACTGTGGAGGTGGTTTTGCCTGGCTATAGGAGGTAGACTCTTCAGGTTCCATATCCCCAATGCTGAAAGTATGGTCATCCCTCTGATTCCTGAGCACCTCCCCTATCCCAGGACTCTGTCATGACCTCAAGACACCCCTAACCTCAACTCTGCTAAACGCAGATTTCCATTTATCCTGGTCCTCTGGCCCTCTGTCCTTCTCTCTTGTCACTCCACACACCCAACCCTGAATGTCCCCGTGAGCCTTTCCATTCCACCCTCTACTCAGATCCCTCCCTTGAATTGCCTTCTCTGACTATTTTATTCTCCTTTGTAAGTGTGATTGGAGCATCCTTGCTTGAGCCTTCCTTCTTGTATAGCTTCTTTGGGTCCATGGAGTGTAGCATGGGAATCCTGTACTTTGTGACTAATATCCACTTATAAGTGATAAGTCCAAGTCCTTTCGGGCCTGTGTTACCTCACTCAGATTGATAACTTTTAGTTTCATCCATTTGCCTGCAAAATTTATGATGTCCTTGTTTTTAATAGTACCTCATTATATAAATGAACCACATTATCTGTGTGCAGTCTTTGATTGAGAGGCAATTAGGTTGTTTCTAGTTTCTGACTTTATTACAAATAAAGCTGTTTGAACATAGCAGAATCCATGTCCTTGTGGCATGTTTGACCATCTTTTGGAGTATATGCCCAGGAGCCCTATAGTAATTATAGACCTTTTCCCAATATTCTCAGAAACTGCCAGATTGATTTCCAGAGTGTTTATATAACTTTGTACTACCAATATCAGTGAAGGAGTGTTTCCCTTGCTCCACATCCTCCACAGCATGTGCTGCCACTTGACTTTTCGATCTTAGTTATTCTGATGAGTGTAAAATAGAATCCCAGAGTCATTTTATTTGCCTTTCTCTTATGACTAAGGACTGTGAACCTTTCTTTAAGTGCCTCAAGATTCCTTCTGTTGAGAATTCTCTCTTTAGCTCTGTAACACATTTTTGAATTGGGTGGTTTGGTTTGTTGGTGTCTATCTTTTTGAGTTCTTTGTGTATTTTGGATATTAGCTCTCTGTTGGATGTAGGGTTGGTAAATATCTTTTCCCAATCTGTAGGCTGTGATTTTGTCCTGTTGACAGTGTCCTTTGCCTTACAGAAACTTTTTAGTTTTATCAGGTCCCATTTATGAATTGTTGATCTTAGAGCCTAAGCCATTGATGTTCTGATCAGAATTTTTCTCCTTTACCAAACCTTAAAGACTCTTTGTCACTTTTTCTTCTTTCAGTCTCAGTGTACCCGGTTTTATGTTGAGTTCTTTGATCCTCATGAACTTGAGTTTTCTGCAGCGTGATAGACATAAATCTATTTCATTCTTCTACCTGCAGACATGCAGTTAGACCAGCACCATTTACTGAAGTTGCTTTCTTTTTTCTATTGTATGGTTTTAACTTTGTCAAATTCAAGTGTTGGTATGTGTGTGGGTTCATTTCTGGGTCTTTCATTCAATTCCTTCGCTCAACCTATATGGTTCTTCACCAATGCCATGAAGTTTTTATTACTATTGCTGTGTAGTTCATCTTGAGATCAGGAATGGTGATATCTCCAGAAGTTCTTTTATTGTACACAATTGTTTTTAGCTATTATGGACTTTTTGTTTTTCCATATGAAGTTAAGAGTTTCCTTTTTATGATTTTTAAAGATTTGTTTTGGAATTTTGATAGGAATTGCATTGAACATATAGATTACTTTTGGTAAGATGGCAATTTTCTATATATTAATCCTACAGATCCATGAGCATGGGATTTTTCCATCTTTTAATTTCTCCCCCAGTATCTCTCATAAGAGTTTTGAGGTTCTTGTTGTATAGGACTCCCACTTGCTTGGTTGGAGTTGCATCAAGATATTTTATATTATTTGTGGCTATT